CTCGAACCCACGGGCTCAGGCAATCCACTCACTTCAGCCTCCCAAAGGCGCGGGATTACAGGCTGAGCCACCGAGCCCGGCTATGCTGTTTCTTAAGTACATCCGCTCCACCCTCTTCCCTGCCAACTTTGCGGCCCTCACAATTTCCTGCGTGTGTGTTCACTGGCCCCCCCTTAATCTGACATGTATTCGAGGGACAAGATGAAGAAAAGGAGACAGGATGAAGCCAGGAAGCTGGGTGGTGGGACCTCAGGTAAGTCACCTCCTCTCTCTGGGCCTTAATTTTTTTTTTTATCTGTGAAATGGGGCCAATTTCCCCAGTTCATGGGACTGTTGACAGAATTAAAGGAGATAATCCACATGCGGGAGCTCAGCACTGAGTTAGGCCTATAGCTAGCGCAGGAACTAGAACTAATAAGAAAAAAAGGAATTTGTGTATCAACGCTCATGGTCATTATCCGCTTCACAGCTAGGGGGTGCCCCAGCTGCGCTGAGAGCCTGTCACAAGGCAGGCCCATCCGCCTTCCAGCTGCTCCGCCCCATCCCGCCCCAGAAGTATCAGCGCTAAGGTTACTCCATGGATCCTCTAAGAAGTGTGTCAGTTGGTGATGGGGGTTACAGAAATATGGAATTCTGGAAACCAATATTTCTTTCACTTCTGTTTTAAGTCCAAAGAAAACCTTTGTGTGTGTCTGGGCAGAGGAGGGGTGGGGTGGGTGAAGAGGAGTGGGCTTGACAGGTCCACCCCACCCTCAATGGGCTTTGAGCCTTTTGGACAAATCAGAGATGCTGAAGTTCTGCATTCAACACAGTCTCTTCTCCTAAAAGAATCCTCCTCCAAAGTCACCAGCTTTCAGGTGGGAGGGGGCCCTGAGCCATTCTGAGCAATGTAGGAAGACTGAGGGTAGCCCAGTGAGTCCTACCTGCCGCCTCACCTGCCGTCTTGGGTCATCTTGCTCTCCTTTCCCCAGACTCTGTTTTTTCTCATCAAAATAAAATAAAAAAACAAACTCCTCCAAGATGGCTTCCTCTGGAAGTTCTTCCCCTCCTTGCCAAAGATAATATGCTATGCTTTCATCTCCCTTACCCCAACCTCCAGAAATGGCTGGGAGTGGGGGGAAACTGAGGCTCAGAGCCCTGAAGTCAGTGGCTCAGCCTGGTGATAAACTCAAAGTGAAGTAATTTATGGTCAAATTCCAGTTGGATCCCCTACAGAGGAAAACGGCTATGCAGAACAAATCCTAAGACAGAGAACACAAGAAGCTGGGGGCAGGGAGGCAAGTGGTCCTCCAAACGCCTCTCCCTGTGCCCTGCCAGGAGAGAGGCAGGACTTCACTCACTGTTCCCTGGTTGAACTCCGTGCCCAGATATAACAGCTCAATGGCTGGGGGAGATGGATTGTACGTGCAGAAACAGCCCCCTGTCGACCCTTTGCACGGGCATCCCCCCGCTGCCTCATCCACCCCCTTCCTGGAGCCCTGTAGGCGCCCCCAGACTCTGGCTTCATCAGCGAGGATTATCCCTGCTCCTAGGCCCCTCTTGCTGAAGCTGGCCGCGGCCTGCAGCCAGGGGCTTGTCAGGGGTTCACAACCACCCCCTGCCCAGCTGGGGCCCCTCTGGAAAGGCCCGCCCAAGAAGGCAGCCGCGGATCTGTCCCTCCCATCCAGGCTCCGTGCTGTGCCGGGACTGGGGGCCCGAGAGGGGGCTGCTGGGGCTGGGCCAGGTTACCTTCAGGAGGAAAGTTTTGGGTTTGGGTCCCCTCTTCTTGGGCCCATACAGCTCACGTTCCCTCTCCCTGCGGCCGAGAAAAACCAAAGGTTAAAAAGATCCCCTTCCCGGGCCCCACTTGCGCGCTGCCCTCCCCGGCTCTCCCGCCTCCCCGCGCAGCGCCCCAGCAGAGCCTCGGCCCCGCCGCTCCTGCCAGCTTCCCCAACTCACTTCTGCTCGAAGGCTGCAATGAGCCGCGAGTCCAGGATGTTCTCCTCGGGCTCCCAAGTGCTGTACCTGCCGAGTCACACGCGCACAAAATCTAAATATTAACCAGAGAGGCAAAGGCACACCACGAGCGAGCAACGCGCGCACCCCCCCTCCCCGGGCCCCAGTGCCCGCTGCCTCCCCTCCCCCCATGGCCCCGGGACCCCGTGACACTCACTTGATCGCCCACCCTTTCCATTTCACCAGGTACTCGATGCGTCCCTGAAAAACAGAGAGAAAAAAAGG